TTGTTAGTGGCAGCACCATTTTAGACATTATATTACCTTTCATGTTGGACAGTGTCATTGATGACAATGAAATTGTGAAGACTGATCGCAGTTTTAGTTTTTTACGGACCATTGGCCTTTTGAATTATATTTACTTTTTAAACTTTATTGAAAACAAATCTGACAGGTTTTAGTCTCTTTTTAATTTTCTACATTTTGTTAAATTTCGCATTTCTTTCTTTATTTTTTCTTCAGAGACCATTTGGCACAGATAACCCAGTTACTTTGTGCCCAAAACCCCATGCCAATGTCCTGTAACAACTATGTGGAAAACCTGAAGAGGATGTGTGAACCTTGTCCTGTTGATACAAAATTGGTCAAAATAGAAAGCACTAATTCTTCAAAAGTTATATTAAGTAGTTCAGGTTATGCTCTTTACGTGATACGTGACAATACAATGCAGATATTACCAATTGATATCTAGATGAACTTAAAAGTATAAATGTTACTTTCAGAAGAGTAAGATAGATATTAGAATGAAATGGTCACACTTTAAATCTAGCTGCTTAAAAACCTCAACATTGGAACTATAACCAAACTAGCTGGCTTTAAACAATAGGATGATCAAATCTGAAGGAATGTGCTCTTTAATGGTAATTTCAAAATTAAATTTTTTTGGTAATTACGGTTAAAAATTGTTTGATGGCAGAAAGGAGAAAATGGTATTATGGTCAATCAATACACAACTACAGTGAAACATGCTGCAGGGTTGATGCAAGTAAGAGCTGCATTTCAGCTAATGGTGATAGAGATTTATGTAAAATTGAAGGCGACCTAACTGCTGACAGGTACAAGGTTTCACATTCTAGCAAGACGTCAATTCCATGCATGCAAAAAATTTGGTGAAACAAATTGTAGAAAGAAAACGAAGCTGAAGGAACACTCACAACATGCACAGTCATTATATGAAAATTATTAAGGTTGTATGGATATATATGAAAATAAAAATATTAAATAGTAACTAAACAATTTGGCTGAATCATTTGAGTAATAAAGAACATTTAAAACAATATTTCATAATGAGCATTAAAAATCTTATGATAAAATAAAAACAAGATGCACTATCCTGTTTAAAAACTATTCACTTTTCACTTGTATTGTAAAAATGTATTGTATTAATTATAAGTTGACCACTTAGTAGCAATTACTCATTGTTGTCACTCCTGAATGTATAAATCTTACAAAATTTCGTAATTATTTCCAATAATGTACTTGAATAGACTTATTTTTATTTAATTATTCAACTGTCAGAGTAGATAATCTGAAACATATATGAAAAATACATTGTAAACGAGCTGAGATGCATATGGAAAATACAAATTTGACAGACTAAGTCGTATGTTGAAATTTCAGAACAGCAATTTGAGATGCTTATAAAAAATAAAACGTTTGAGAAGTATATGGAAAACAAAGATGACTATTTGAAGTGTATATAGAAAATCCACATGTATGGAGTTAAGTATTTTAAACACATATAGCGTTTAGAACGTGAAAATGAATTAATGTTGCATATAAAACTAGGCTATAGGCTATAAATATGTAACAAACTTCAAATACATGCACAAGAGGCTAATGTGTTGATGTGACAGTAACTTAAAGTTATATATTAGACTGTACTAATAAGCTATAGTTCTTTCTGGAGAACTCTGTAACACAGCACATCTAATGTTTCATCAATTCTGAGAGGAGTTTTTGATAAGACAAAGTATTCTGCCATCCATTTATTTCCTTCCTCCTTAATAGATCCTCACAAAGATCACGTGCTGAAGACAACTAATAAAAACAGTCAAAATTGCTGTAGTGCTAAAAGTCCACTTCAATGCATTTCTATGAAAGACAATTACACATGCACTAATTTCAGACATTCAGAAGTCCCACCTTGAGTCAACTACTCCCAAAACACGTAAACAGACTCATCCAAAACAAACTTGTTACCCTTTTTACAAAGCTGAGAAAGGATAAATAGACTTCTCAGTTATAACTATCAGAAATTATTGAACCCAGTGGTTACTGCTGCAAATACAGTAATATATATATGATCAACAAAAATCCTTGTGAGGCAAATGTTGTTCCACGAATCCAGGCTCTGGGAATGGAATGGTCCCTATTTTTAGTACCTCAGAAAATATATCATATAGATTTCTATGGCATTTTAAACTCGAGCTTGACCTATAAAAATCACCCTTTTATCGAGAAGTTTGGAACAGGCATGCAATCTTCATTGCCACCTGAGTAAATCAAACCAATTTTAACTTTTTATAGTCCATGGCATCTTCTTACATCATGCCTGCATACAGTTGTAGGCCTTTTCCTGTTAGAAGTGGGGTAAGACAAATTGTCCAGTCACTACTGTCCCTGTTCTGACTTTGGGCAGATCTTTTATATCTCTCCGAGAAACCATCCATGTCATCTTTCTGTTCCTCACATTTGTGTAGCTTGGATCAACTGGCCCTGACCTCATTGTCATTCTTGGATCCTTCATATTTTTGTTGGGTGAGCTTGGTAATCTCAATTTGTGCTCTTATTATCTCCCTCTTTCTATTTCCAGTCTCTCCTTTTCTTCTATTTCCTTTTCTTCTTTAGTCTTTCTTCCTCTCTTCTCTGCCTATGCACTTCTCTCTTTCTACTTCTTGTTGTTGTTTAACAAACTCTCGTAGTTTGCCATCTTTGAGTCCAAGACACTCACCTCTTTATATCCATTTATGAAAATCTATCAATATGGTTATGTAGTACGATTGTAGCCTCTGAACTATTTTCGCCACCACTAACATTGTGCATACTTATTTCTGTTGTCGTTCACGTCTTCTTTTATTTGCATTTATCACTGTATAATCCTGGCTAGATTTATCTAAAACTGTAAATAATTATCTTTTCTTGTCAAAAGTCCACACAGGTTGATTCAAAAACTCAAAAACCATAGTATATCTATTAAAAACACAGTCATTTTAAACAAAGAACCCAACATAAACAAACGAAAAATCAAGAAATCCAGCTTAATTGAACAAAACAACCCTACTCTAAACCAACACCCCGGGGTGCCTAGATACCTCTTCTAAGTTTTGCAACAGTTCCGGTCAGGTGATTTCTTTGTTCAATAGTGTATATATATATCCGTGTCAATGTAAATTAATTGTACCTGATGATGACAAAACCTTGTCGAAACGTTGTACATTTGCTGTTATGTTAAACTTATATTAAAGTTTTCTTCATTACCCATTTAAGCCGTCTCCAGTCATTATTATTCTCAAAGTGGGTTCCTCGTCATCGAATTATATTCTTTGTGGTTTCTCGTCACTTCTTATAGCTAAAGAGAGGGCGCAACAATCTAGTGGCCCGACAGCCTTGTTGGTTGGAATGAAATCACTTACATACATACACACTATTTGCTTTGCTCTTCCAAGCAGTTCTGAAGAGCCTTGGATTTGATGAAACTAGTGTGTTGCAGCGCGAGTACACAATCAAATAAAGGATTAGGCTCTACATAGTAATCTATTCCCTGATATTCACATTTTAATTAAGAAAAGACTTATAAACAAACTGGATTAATGCCACACGTGAAGTAGTACCCTAGGGCTCAGTATTGATATATTTACTGTTCTTGATTTACATCAGTGATATAGGTATAGAGAACTAGTCAATAAATTGCTTATACATGCTGACGCTATTATGGTCTTGGGTGTTGTTTGCTGTGAGAAGGAGGGCGTTGCTCTAAAAAAGGATTTAGATAATTTTGTTAGTTGGGCGAATAACTTTCAGATATCTTTTGATTACAATAAATGCAAGGTGGTGCATGTGGATTATCATAATTGAAATTACAATTTTGACGTGAATAACCTTAACAGTATTATGGAAGAAAAGAATCTTGTTGTTTTGGTTGATCAGTCTCGTAAAGACTTAAGCTACCCAAGCAGTGTGCTGTTTCTAGCGCTCACGGAAATAGGATTTGGGGTTGTATTTGCAGAAATATTGAATATAATTCTAGAAAGATTATAATTTCATTGTATGAATGACTGGTTGGACCTCATATGTATTATTATTTTTAGTCTTGGGCTCCTTACCTTCAGAGGACCATTGAATTGTGGGATACAATTCAAAGAAAGGCTAATAGGATGTTACCTGTGGTTTAAATGTTGTGATATAAGTCAAGATCTTTGAAGTTGTTTCCACTTGAAAGAAATAAAACAATACAAGTTAAAGGGATCCTATTTGATTGTCTAAGATTATTAAAGGATGTAATAGTATCGATGCATCATCTCTTAATTGTCATATTTAATGTAGGGCAAGGGGACACAAATATAAATTTTGACAGGGTATAAATTATCTTAAGCTAAGACAGTTTTAATTTTCTAACAAGCATCTTCAGATGTGGGTGGATGCAGAAAATTTATTGGAGCTTAAATGAAAGCTTAATAAATACTTAACTAATCAGGGCTAAATTTGTTTTTAAGTGGATAGAAATAAAGCCCCTTGTTGTCCTTAAATGTTATGTAGGTATTTTATGTTAAATCAACATTCAAATTACTTTATATATATATATATATATATCGATAAAAAGAGGCCTCCCAGTTGTTCAGCGATAAATCTGCAGGCTTATAACGCTAAAAACTAGGTTTCGATACCAGTAGTTGACACAGCACAGATAGCCCATTGTGTAGCTTTGTGCTTTTGAACAAAACCAAAACCAAATAAAAAATAGTAATTCAGAATATAGTATCAACGCAAACTTCTTTAGAAACCGAAATTTCAAGCTCTTAAAATACAATTTCTTGATAGCAAGAGTATGAATAGTATTAATTTAAAAATATATAAATTATTTTTATAAATGTTAATAGTCCGATTATGTCTTTAATATCAATGATATTACTAATTGCGAAAGAAATATAATTAATTTATTAGGTATTTTCAAGTAACCAATTTACTATACGTTAGATGGCGATTTATCATATAACTGTACTTGGGAAAAACCCAATCGAGATGCAGACTGTTGGATTATTTATACTTACGTACGGTTTGTGATAAGCATCGGGGTATACTGTTAAAGAACTTGTATGAGTAATTTTCAATACGATTTGTACAGTTTCATTTGTGTGTCGGTTTTGAGTCGTGTTTGATTAAGGACTGTATATGATATTGGTAACACTAACAGTATAGTATCGTAAATTGTACGCTTTAGTTTAGCATTTTATGTTATTTATTAAGATTGGGCACCAGTAGTAGTACTACTATTAATGTTACTAGATAGTTACTACTTTAAACAGGTTAGTTTAATTTGATAATTATCTAATTTGGTACTGCTGCTTCTACTAGTACATCCAACATGTGGAATTTGAAGGCGACTGCTAGTGCCAGTAGTAGTAGTAGTGAGTCAACAAGTGGTGATTTTGGATAGTCTGGAGAAAGGGATAGTGGTTTCACTCAAGCCCACAACATCCAGTGTTTTAACCATCCAGCCTATTAGTGTTACACTTATGCCAAATTTACCATTACCCACTCATAGTAGTAGTAGTAGTATCAAATTTGATAATTAAAAAAAGTAAAAATTTTAATAAAACCATTATGTTAATTTATTGTTATATTCTTAGTTCTGTAGACTTAGCAATCAAGATAAAAAAACATTTAGGACATACTAATTTTGAAGGTCTAAAAAAGTAAAATTAAGGACAAACACTGTTTGAACTTTGAGTAAGCTAATGTATATATAGCTTTCAAATTTGTTTCATTGCTACAAGTTAATAATAATTTGTACTAATATTGAATATGCTGTTACTAACAGTAATACTACTAGTAGTTCTAGACTGCTTCCATTTTTACACTTAAAATAAAATGGAAGCAATATTTCTGACCCTGAATGTTCTAATAGGAAATACTTGAAATGTACTGAATCATATAGATATTAATATTAATCCCTTGGTTATAAATAGAGATTGAAAAATTAAAAATAAATAAAACACCAGGACTAGACAATGTTTACCTAGAGGTTTTAAACAGGGTCGAATATCAGTTATGCTGGTCTCTGTTTCATTTTTGGTAGATCAACAGAGAAGTGGACAGGTACTTGAGGATTGTAGAGTTGCTAGAATTTTTGTATTTATTATAAGTGGTGATAAATGTTGTCCTAGAAATTATAGTTTTAGTTTTACTTATTAAGGTGATCCTTTATTGCAGGCTCGAGTCTCTATACTGGACTCGGGATGATAGAGCAGCTTGTTAGTCGTAAATGAGTGATTCATGTTTCCAGTACTTATTTAGTCTGGCCTCAAATACTGAGATACTAGGTGCTGATACTATTTCTTTTGTGAGCGAATTCCATGGTTGAATTATTCTGTGTGAAAGAGAGTATTTTCCCACATTCTTGTTTGCTCTCTTAATGTATAGTTTCTTGCTGTAGCTCCATGTATTGTTTTCAGTGATTGCTAGGTCAGGGTTTAGAGTTACCTCTCTGTCATATACTTTAAACTTTGTCTCTATCATTTCTTCTCTTAAATGTCTTGTACGCTAAACTTGACAATTTCAATTTTCTTAACCTATCCTCATAACTTAAGTTACTTAATGATTGTACAAGCTTAGTAGCCCTTCATTGAACATTTTCAAGTGCTTCTGTATCCTTTATTTTTTCAAAGGATTCCAAACTTATTAGCATACTCCAAATTAGGTCTTATAAGTTCTTTGTATAAAAACAGGAAGGGTGGCAGAGAAACCTGTTGGTTGATTGTTGTCTGGGGCACTGGAACACACCACTTTGACCTTGGATTTTTGTACACAGGTGAAACCCCAGGGCCAATCAGCTGGTCCTGTGTGGATAAGGTAAACTGAGTGCTAGTATCTGACATTCTCAACAGGTGTTGTGGACATTGTCTAGTGCTGGTGCTTTGATATAGTGTCTATGAAACCCTGTCAAGGTTACACTGTCCTTGTAGAACTCCATGGTGGGTATTAAATCTTTCCTTTTTTTCAAAAAAATGAAAGCTAAAATAAGATAAAAAAACAACAACAACAATTGGAAAATGACTACCTATGGAAGACTATTCAATGATTTCAATCTCCAAATATACCTTTACCTCACTTTCTAACTCTGCATTCGTTGTCAGAACATTCTCTTGGGCAGATCTTTCCTTTTTTCATTCAGAAGGGATTTAGAGGGGCTTGCTGGCTCTCTTAAGTAGGTTAAGAAGGTTTGGTCTGGGGATATCTTGGTCAAAACATCTTCATAGCAAATTCCTCTTGAAGTTGAAGTCCATCTGGGATATGCTCATTGAGGTTACTTCCCATGCTACTTTGAATTCCTCAAGAGGAGTGATCATTGAGAGAGATTTGCTTAACATCCCCGAGTTGGAGATTCTCATTAGTTTCTCCAGCCAAGGAGTTTTATATGTTTGACAACTCTTCTCCAACCAAATATGGAAAAATGCAGCCATTTTCACATTTGTATGATCACATCCACCTGCCATCATCAAGACAGGTTATGTGAACTGTAAAGTGAGGCCCTATTTTCTTATCCTTGCAGATGTTTCAAATACCAAAGGCTTTGACACACTAAGTCATCTTGTTGTAATGATAAAAACCCCAATAGCTATGAGTGTCAATTGGACCCACATTGCATTAATTGTAGTGGTTCCAACCTCTCCTACTTTTATTCATGCCTTAAGTTGGTGGAAGAGAGAGAGGTACAGTGGATAAGGACCATCAAGAACATTTCTTATCCTGAGACATAGTAATTGTTGTTCCCTCTTCCAACTATTATGGTTGTAGTGCAGACAGATATCTTCATTCCTCCTACTGAGTCTTTCTCTAACCATGTAAAGGGTCTTCTGCTCCCATGGCTACACCAGTTGACAAGTTCATATCTCTCCCAATTTCTGTGCCTATAGCAGAATCTAGTGAATACTCGGGTCTCTCTCTCCATTGGTTCAGAAGTGCAGGACCATCATTCAGTCATGCACTCATTCACTGGAATCACATTCACCTGTCAGTGACCTGCCCCATCAATTCAAGGCAGAATCCATGGAGGTTGTAAGCCTCTTTTTAATAAACAAAAATGATGTGGTTGTAATAGCACCATCCAGTGTCTCTCTCCTTACAGAAGACATTCCTAAAACCTGCCTATGCTATTAGCAGTTTTTCTTGTACATGAAAGACAGGTTGTGTGATGGGCATGTACCCATTATGTTTGTGTTACTCAATACACCACTGGAGGTTATTTGCATCCTTGTCTCAGTTGGTCATACCATCACAGTTTGGTCTCTCTAACTGTCATCAGGAAAGAATTATGATCAAGTGGATCATAATGGTTTTATTGAATAGTTGCTATCTCTCTTCTTCATCATGGGAGACTTTAATGGACACAGTTCAGTCTGTGGTAGTGCTGATATTGATGGGAGGGGTAGAATTCTGTAGAATATATGCTTTTGGATCACAACTTCTCTCTCTCTTCAATACTGGTTCATATACATATTTTATTGCCCTAATAAGTCTTTTTACCACCATAGATCAACCTATTTGTTCCTCTTCCCTACTTCCTTGTTTTTCTTTGAGGATGAATGATGATGCATGGGGCAGTGATAATTTTCCCATCATTCTGAGGGAGGTCAGCCATGCTTGATGCCACCTACCCAGTGTGCCATGATGGAAGCTGGAGCAGGCTGACTGGCTATCTTTCATCACTCTCTTCTAACTAGATCCTGCTGTTGTTAATCTCCCCACTATTAATGATTGTGTGGAGACAGTGACTGATTGTATTGTTCAGGCAGCTGTTTGTCGATCCTCAAAACTTCGACACATTTGCCAATAGGCACAGGAGACTCAGAAATGGGCATAGGATATTTACCTCATTCTTCACAATCACTTGACATTTAACTGACCAATACTAAGTGGGTCAAACGTCAAAAGCAGAAGGAGTCTTGTGTTAAGTTCACTTCAAGTAACTCTTCAACCACCTGTTCCAAGGTAATTTCTGACAACATTGGAAAGGTTAGTGGGAAGTTTATCTTCCATCCTCTTTTGATTTTGCATTCCAATGGTCACGAGGTTGCCGATTTATAGCATATTACCAACACCTTTGGGGGATGCTTTTCTCACCATTCCAGCACTTCCCCTGCTCTCTTGGTCATCAAATTAGGAGCTGAAAGATCACCACCATCTTTTTTGAGCCAATGGTCTCCAATTGACCATTCATGCTTGTGAAACTAAAGATTACTCTTCATTGGTCTGGCAATATATTGGTTGGACTAGAAGATATTCATTATGGGATGCTATGCCAGCTTTATTCTGCCCCTCTTGTTTTTCTTCTGGTTGTTTTAATCATATTTGGCAAGATTTGACAGATACATGGCATAGGACTATTGCCATTCCTTTTTCTGAGCCTAAAAAAAGGATTCCAAGAGTCCTTCCTTCTAACTACAATCCAATTTATTTGACCTATAAGGTTTTGGAGAAGATTTTTAATACTTGTCTTGCTTGACTCCTGGAGTCAAACAACCTCCTCTTGCCCACCCAGTTTGATTGCTGTAGACAGTGCTTTATTGTGAACCATCTGATTTGACTAGAAACACTGACAAGATAAGCCTTCCTCAAGAGGGAGCATATTGTATCAGTCCTTTTGGATCTTGAGAAGGCTTACAACACATAAAGTTTGACATATAGAACCTCCATTCCTGTGGGTTACTTGTCCATTTACCTATTTTTATTTGAAGCTTTAAATGCAGATCATTCCAAGTACATTTGGGTTTAGGCATTGTCCTGATCCCTCACAAAGGAAATTGAAGTATTTCAGGGCTATGTCTTGAGTGTCATGCTTTTCAGTATTAAGATCAATGCTGAACAACCTCCTCCTACAGTTGCAAACAGGCTTCATGTCAATGATTTTCAAATTTCCTGTCAGTTGTTGGCCTTTTTAATTTCCATTAATTTTTAACCTAATTTACAGGCGATGTTCAGTTTTTGATTTGTTTTATTTAGTTGTGTTTTTAACTGTTTTTTTTATTATCAGAATTAGTGCCAGATAACTTCTTCTGTTTGTGTCATTCAACCAACCATCCTAGAACATCATAACTTATCCCATAGTCTCATGAGTTGTACCTTGTCAAAGGCTTTCATAAAATCAAGTTAACTGAATCAACATATCAACCATTGCCTAATACTTGACACCAATGTTTCATCACATGCAATAATTGTAAAGTTGTAGCATAACAGTTAATGGATCCAAATTACTTTTTACTAAATAACTTATTTCTTTTAAAATTTTCAATACCAATGTCGCTTAAAGCACTGGGCAATAAATTTTTTCTATGCTACTAGAAAAAATGCAACTGTTTCTGAGTAATTTGATGATGTTGATTTTAAAAATCATGTTGAAAATTACTGGTCACCTCCAGTTTTCAAGTTATGATGGATTTAATCAAAATATTAATATATTTTATGAAAATGTTTTCTCTAATAACCACATTAAAGAATGTATAATCTGCATACTTTGATAAGTTTCTTCCATGTTCGCAGCAGGAGTGACAGGAATCAGTGGCTTAGTGTTACCATTGTGCAACAGTGCAGCTTTCAGACTAACTTTAGATGAGTCAGTAAAATGTCTCCATTCTTGAGGATAATTGTCGGTATTTAATTCTTCCATTACTGCATCAACATTTGTACAGAAACACAAAGCATCTTGTATGCTGTAGTGAGCAGCAAGACTTTGATGGCGACTTTGATAAATTGAAACTCTTGCTAATAAGTTCCATTGCTGTAAACAAGAGCCAAGAAGTTCTCCATGCTGCTTTGATAGAGACAAGTCATGAATCAGACCATTTAGCACTATCCCAAAACTAATAGTAGTATGAATGGAATTCAGGGTAGCTGAAATCATAATCTGATAGTCCTGGAAATCAGGCTAGTGGATTTTTACACCCCTCTTGAAAGTTAATTAATAAAGTTTACTAATTCATTAAATGGTTTATTCTAGCTGTATTGAGGATGTTGAGGTACTACAGAATGACTCGGATCAGCTGGCAAGTGAGACAAATATTTAACAAATGACCTTAAATCTTTAGAAATTAAAGTTTATGTATAAGTTAAAGTACAAGGTAACTCATGTTGGTTACCATAATTTGGATCATGTGTTTGATATAGATAGGAAAATACAACATGAATGAAGAGAAGGATCTTGTCATAGTGGTGAATAAGTCATTCAAGCCAACTAGTACTACTAGTAGTAATAGTGAAGCTAATAGAATGCTAGGTTCAATTATAGACACTAAAACACATGGTAGTGTGTCGTATGGCCAAAACAACCTGCAGGACACTCTGTGTATTATTAAAAGGAGTGATAGTTTAGCAATTTGCCCATTTCTGTAGCTTAGATTGTGGTAATCCAAACTATCACATATTTTCAGTGGATGTGCCCTACTGGACCCTTACTTCACATACCAAATTTCGAGGCAATCCATTAAGAAATACACGAGATATAAAATCTCCAATTTTGATTGAATTTTTTTATTTTCTTTGCACCGAAAGTATGGAAACTTTATTTTATAGAATGCTAATAGAATGTCCATAACTTTTATGGATTTTTTATTTTTTTTTAATTTGGAACACTAATATTTCTTTACAACCTACCATCAGGTGTCAAATTTGTTCTAAATATAAGCCACATGTGCAAAGTTATTCAACAAAAACTGCTCAAATTTGAATAAAATGTTTGTGCAAGCCTATGCAAAAAGTCACTTGAGCTATCAGCTTGAAATTTTTACTATAGCTTCACCTAAAAGTAAAAGTTGAATGTTTTTAGTTTTTCTCATTCAGATTAAAGGCAGCTAATTTAGTGCAGCAAAGCTATATAGGGAAAGACGTGCAGATACATATTGGTTAGGCCAAGCAAACTAGATTATCAGTTTCTCACTTAAGTTTTCAAAAGAATCATATGGGTGCACTGTTATTATTCATTGCCAACTTATAAACACAAATTTGCTAAATCTTATGAGATTCTCCTATTTAAAGATCGTTTAGTGGCATGTGATATTAGCATAAATAATGATGCTTGATAAGGCTGTACCGAGTGTATGTGGGTGATGACAAGAAACTGTTAATCTAGATTCCCTGGCATTATTATAAAGGAAATTATTAACATTGTTTTAGAGAGGAAAACTACACTATGTATTTTAAAGAATCTGGTTGGTTTTCTAAAGTATAGGTCTGTTCTGAATAATAGGGTTGCGATCCTAAAGCTAATGTTGGCTACTATCAAGTGTCACTTTCTTATTTGCTGTGGTTTGTTGGTGTGTATTGATAAAAAGTTATGATATTTAATCAAAAACACCTTAAGTCTGAAAAAAAGGTGCAGTCAAAAATAGGATGGAGTTTGCAACTTAAAGGAATTAAATCAAAATTGGTAGATGCACTCTAGTATTGATAAGAATTTTACAGCAAATATTCATTCATTAGTTAGCTAGGCTGTGTATTTTGTTTTACTCACCATCATGCCCCAAGTTGAACAAAAAATGTGGTCTGGATAACTAACGAATGAATATTTCCTGTAAAAGTTTTATCAATGCTCTAAGTGTAGTTACCAGTTTAGCTGCTAACTAAGTCACATGCTCAATCTCTTCTTTTGGTCACACCTTTTTTTCACACCCAAGGTGTTCTTGATTAGATATTAATGACAAGTCAAAAGAGGTAATTATTTATGTAAAGTTATTTAGGGATTCACTTGGAATTTTGTATACACTTTATTTCCTTGTCTCACTGAAAAAAGTTCAAAGAAATCCTGTTAGGAAGATTCCCAGGGACAAATGTGTTCACTTACAGCAGTAGGTTAAGATCTCTTGAATTATTTTTTTCTGATTTTTTTGTGATGTATTTTGAAGACAAAAGGACATGTTTCAAATTTGTGAGTGACAAGCTAAGCTCTAGTTACGATAGTTTTGTTTTTCTAACAGGGTAATTGACTTAGGTAATGAGTTGCTATCAATAGTGATGGAGGGTAGCACCATACAAGAGTTTAAGAGGGAGGAGTCTGGTTTCATGAAAAATGAATGGTTGGTTTAATTTTCATTTTGTCAAGGTTTTTTGGTTTTGCAAGGATAGTGTTGAAGGAAAGATAGTCCCTTGTTGTCAGTATGTTATAGCACTACTAATGTTGTAACAGTTAGTATTAGTTGTATGTAGATAGAGAAAACAAAGTATATATTAACTGTTGCAGCAATATTTTCTAAATGTTTCATAAACTTTATCCTACAATATAAGTTATTAATTATTACTATTATATTAATCCTGTTCTTGTTTAGGTCCCTACTGACTGATGTTTCCAGTGTAATTCAAGAAATTGACAGCAAATTACCATGCTGTAAATAAACTTTGAACTTTGTTACTCATAAGACATATTTTTTAAATCTCGTATATATACTTAGTGATTTTCTTCAACTAAGTATGTTATCAAAAATTCATCATTATTTAAAACAGCATTGAAGTTGCAACTTGTATTTTTAGAACAGTAACAAAGATATGTGCTTTCACATCAGACAGGTTAATTTTGTATTTTTACATATATATGGAAAAACAAAATGACTGAACTAATAAACAAAACAGCACCAGCATGTGCCACAAAAAATCTAAAGGAAGAAGGCTATTACAGTCCTGAAAATGGAATATGTTTAGAGACTACGTGTGTCAACCAAAATGGTGAAAAAGAAAATCAATATGAAAACACAGTGGATTTGTTACATCATGCTGCTGAGCAATGTCAGATGGTTGCCAATCGTCTAAAATGGAAAGAATTGCAGAAAAAGGTAGGTTACTTGAGAGTTTTCTATATTTACATGTAGCATTGACAGATTTGATGTTTTGGTAATTTTAGTCAATTAGTTGTATTGAACAAGGACTAATGATTAGCATAATTAAATGTCATCTACATTTATTGGCCTGATTTACAAAATGATCAAATCATTTTGTTAAACAACAGCATCCTCCTTACAGACAACTGCACCCAAAACTTTAAAATCATCAGAAACTCATCCAATTTGTTGACCATTCTCTTATTAATATTGTTTATGTTCATCAAAAAGAGTAAAGGTCCCAGCACAGAGCCTCAAGTTTCCTCACTTGCGTGTTACTCTAATCCAGTTTGACTGAACTCAGTTTTTTACAACCCTTTTTCCTCCTCTCCACTAATCAACTCTTAATCTGTTGAGCTAACTTTTCCCTCACCATAGCCACAGAGATAAGTTTCTCTACTAGTCTTTTAAATGTAAATAAGAAAAATTGAATGCCATGCACTGAGACACTCTATTAGTACCAAGCTTCCAGTTTGATCGCACTCCATCAATAACAATCTTTTGCTTCCTTCAATTCAGTCACCCACAATTCTAGTTAATTAGTCTATCCACAAAACTTACAGATGTGATTTTAGTAGTTAATATTTTGTATGGCACCTTATCAACAGATAAGTAGATGCAGTATGCGTCAAAACAAGAGATTATTACCAAAAATGTAAGAAGTTACTTAATGTTTTATTATAATCATAAATCAAACTTATAAAATATTTTTCCTAAAGTTCATCATCATGACATTGAATTTATGGTTAGAGAGCCACTTCATGAAACCTAGTTCTACATGTAAGGGTAAAAATATAGATGACATTGAGAAAAATTAAACTTGGCCAAAAAATTAAAAATATATATACTTGACTGTCTTCATTTAAATAGTTGTTTCATTTTTACCATGTAATATTAAAAAAATGTATTTATTTTATTCATTCAAAAAAATGTAATTGATGATTCTTTGTTGTATTGTTTTACATCATCTCTTTCACTTTTCCCTGTCCTTACAAAATTCTATCTCTGTGCTTGGAACCTAAGAAGTCCCACTCCTTAAGTTTTGAGTCCAGCATGGCCCCTTTTACTCTTAAAAAGATAATATTAGTTAGGCAAGAATTCCCTTTAGTGAATCCACATAGTCTTTCTTTTCTTCCATCATATGTTTTAATTAAATGATTTTGTAAAGCTTTTTTTTTTATACTCATGAATATTTGCCTTATATAGAAGTAATATTAACTGGCCTATAAATTCCATGGAAAATCTTAACCTCTTTAAAATAGGAGTAACAGTATTGGCCCTCCAATCCCCAGACACCTGCTCATTGTCTATTGACCTACAAAAAATGAGTCAGAGACTTGGATATATGATCTATGGCCTCCATTAAAAACCTGTAGAAAATGTGTTTTGGTTCTGGTGCTTTTTTCATCTTTCGGTCTTTTTGCTTATCACAGAGAGATTAATATCTACATGATTCAGGTCAATATCAGTATTTTACACAGAATTCTGAAGGTCAGGAATACCACTAATATCTTCTCTTATAAAGACAGAATAGAAAATTTAAAAACATGTCTGTTTCATAGCCATCAACAAATATATTGCCAGTCAAAGTAGACTTTTGTTACTAGTGGTGTTCCTTGAGGGTTAGTGCTTTTTCTTATTTATATTTACTGTAATGACATTGATAAGGGCATAATTAGTATACTGTTATGACAGCGAAAGTCATGCGATGCTGAGAGCATGCTCGAAGGATCATGAATTATCGAGGAATCCAGCGAATGTCTGAGTGTTTGCTAGATGCCCTCTTTTTTACTATATAAGCCTGGCGAGAAAAACCAGAAGGGAGATCGAAGAGATAGATTGAAGATATAGATAATTGAGTCAAGCGAACCGTAAGTAAAGTATTGCTGAATTTCCTTGGAAAGAATTTATACCGGAAATTAACAAATAGCAGATACGCAACAAATTTGTGTCAGAAGTGGGATGGAAAAGAAGAAAAGAAAACAAGAAGATGGAAACGAGAAGTGGCAAATGAAACTACAGCTTAGCAGGTTTGATGGCAGCAATACAAGAACAGCAAAATAAACAAAAAGAATGAGAAAATAAACAAGAAGAATGAGAAAATAAACAAGAAGAATGAAAAAAGAAACTAGAGATATTACAGCAGTTGTTGGAGGAAAAAGAAAAGAAACAAGAAGAGAGACAACAGCAGTGGCAAGAAAACCTGCAACAGTGGCAGCTT